TGGAGCCATACCAGATTGTGACGACACTGAGATGGGCAGAGCAAGTGGAAAAGGCCTTTTTCCGGCCATGGGCTGACCTGATCTTCAGGATGGAAGAGATGATGTATATGTAGGAGACCAGGGTGACCACACAGGAGGCCACCACAACAATTATGGAGACAAGGAAAGTTGCCAGCTCAACATGCCCTGTGTCACTGCAGGAGAGGGCAAGGCAGGAATCTATATCACAAAGGAAATGATTGATGACATCTGGCCCACAGAATGTCAGCCTGGATGTCATAAAGGCCAGCAGCGAGATGGCCAGAAAGCCTCCCAGCCAGGAGCTGAGTGCCAGCCGAGCAGAGAAGATGCTGCTCATGAGGGAGCTGTATCTCAGGGGGTAGCATATGGCTAAGTAGCGGTCATAGGCCATGACAGACAGGAGAAAACACTCAGTGGAGCCTAGGGAGAGAATAAAGAACAACTGGAGGATGCAGAGACTGAAGGAGATGGTCTGGCTAGTCCCCAGCATGACTCCTATAGCTTTGGGAACAACGCCTGTAGTGTACCAGATCTCCAGAAAGGAGAGATTACAGAGGAAAAAGTACATCGGGGTCTGGAGGTTGCTGTTCATCCACACGAGGGCTATGATGGATGCATTGCCTATTACTGTCAGGGAGTATGTAAGTGCAAATACCACCACAAGGGAGACCTGGGAATGCCACGTGCCTGGGAAGCCAAGAAGGATGAATTCTTCCACACTTGTCCCATTTGCGGGGTGCCCCCAAGTGTTGTCCTTCACCTGCAAAGACAGGAAGTTTCTGTGAGGGTTTGCATGCCGGTGCTGTTCATTCAGATGCTACTACTAGTGAAACAAAGCCGTCATCCCTGAAAATGTCCATTGGTGTAGGTCATGGGAAAGCAGCATCTACCCTAAGTTAAAATAGTCAGGGAAGCCTGTTTGCACAATTAGATCGGACCCTGAAAATCAGGCCTACACCATCAAATGAACCTGTGGAATTACGTATCAGATCAAGCATAGGCATCTCCTTTAGGACATGGTGAATGCAATTGCTTCTCTGGGATGAAAATCACATTTAGGAAACTGCACGGCGGGGTGAGGGTCTCTAGTTATGTGAAAAACTGCGGTTGCAGTTAGGAAGGGAGTAACATCACTGTATTCTTCAAGGCAGGCAATACGGATTTGTGATTTCAGCAAATGAGACTGAGGGATAAAAACTGTCATGATAATGTCACACTAGAAGAGACTTTTTTCATCTCTTCTAGGTCAGTTTACCATGGTGGATTTGGACTGAGGTGGCAGGAACACAGGGCAGCAGGCTAGTATGGCAGTCATGACTCAAGGGCACGTGGTCTTATATATTTGCTTTCTTCCAAGGCTCAGCACAGGAAGCTTTTGCAGGTACCTCCATTACCACCAGCGCTGTTTGCTTTCCAGCAGAGCTACTAGGGGCAGGATTCACCTCTTTGCCATTTGGCCGTATCAGAGTCAGGGGAAGCACTTCTGCTGACCAGACTGTAAGATCTATGGTGAAATAATCCGATCTCAGCTTCTCAACTTACTCCTTGTCTTTTACCATGAGGACACGCCTCGTCTTGCCTCACAGACATGGCTAAAAGCCCTCTAGAAGTGCCAGGTTGTCTCTGAGGACTAAGGCACGAGTAGAGCAAGCAGCTTAGATGGGTAAGTCAAGTCAGACACTTTGGCAGAGGCATCCATGCCTCAGCGGTTGAAGGCAAAATCCTCTCAGTTGAATCCCATCCAAGGTAGCTTTGCTGAGAAGCCTGGTGAACTGAGGGGTTTTAGCTATGCTTCCTCCTGGCAGACAACGGAGGGTTTGTGATCAGTTCTCTAGGGGAGAACCACTTTCATCCTCAGGTGCATGTTTAAGACAGATGGAGTCGAATCACCACCTGAAGGGTCCCTTTCCCTCCTTTCTTCCTTCTATTCTGATTTACATATCCAACATCTCATGTGGCTAAAGAGTAGAGAAAGCCCCCTTAATCCAGCGCTCCTTAAACATGTAAGGCATTGGAAATGTTTGCTAGCAGTCTTGGGCAGGCTTCACTCACCAGCTCAGCCAGTGGAAATGATCCAGACGACATCTCTTCATGCGCCATCCTCCAGATGAAGCCATGGTCCCCTCGGCTGAGGGAGAACATTGGAGAGAGGTTGCTTTATTGGAGGAGCTCTGGGAGCAGTGATGTCAGCAGTGTGGAGGAACAGCTCTCCCCTTGCAGTGTCACTTCAAGCTGTACACAGTTGTCTGATATTGTTTCCTCTACAACCACCTAGCAGGCATTGACAGCTTGTGCTCCTGATTTTTTTTCCCCTCACAGCCACCACTGCAGTTCCACAGAGGAGGCTTGTGTGCACACAGAGTGTAAACTGTCTCCAGGTTAGCTCCATATAATGAGAGCACATATCAGAGAGTCACCAGCATCATTAGCATAAAAAGATCCCCACACCCACCTTGTTAACACACTGAAGCTCAAACTGGCCACACTGAGGAGGCAGTTTTCTCTTTTGTCTCTGTGTGCCACAGGGAGTTTGATCTCTAGGGGATCTCATGGGCTCTCTCTTCACACAGGCCAATTAAAGAACAGCAATGCAATTCTCTAAAGTGGCTTCAGGCTGGGTGTTTGTCTCCTGCCTGCAGCTGTGGTGTGTGAACCTTGTCAGGAACTCCGTGCTCTCTTGTGTGTCCATTTGCTGACAAGCAGGAGATGTCTGAAAGAGCCATGTCCCAAGAGACTGGAAATGTCAAGTATTTGATGATGGATATTAACAGGGACTTCAAACCCCCGAGGTGGGAGGTAATTCAAGGCAACTATGTACACATGGACACAGAGAGAGCAAGGTTCGGCTTAAGGCTCATTTCTGAGCCTCTAACTGCAGTTAAGGCCTAAGTCTTCAGTCTTCGCTGAAGTGAAGATCTAAATGCAAAGTTAGACAAGATATGAGTAGGGGAACTTGATGTCCCCTCCCTCCAGAGCAGGTGTCTCCAGGTGAGCTACTCATTTTTGCTCCATTGATCATCACTGGAGGGAAGTAGGCACCGTTAAGCTTCAGTTGACTATTTTCAAAAGATGCTGTCTCGCACAGATCAAGCATTCCATGTTTTACAAGCACCTATTTTTCTTGTGTTGACACGCAGGATAAACTAGAGAGCTGGCTTAGACAACATAAACACACACAGGTCTCGACCTCTAGGCATCCAGAGTGAATTGAGAAGACTCAAATCCAGAGAGAGTCTGTATACATTGTCTAGGGCCACCAACACCACAGGTGTTGGACTGGACAGACTAATTTTCTGCAATTCCTGTGTCCAAGGCTTCCGTGTGGTTGAGAGAAAATTGATCTGCACTTGGCATGAGGTGGAGATGCTGCCAATAAGAGTAATGTGGCTAACTTGAGCTCATCCACTGACCATGAAGCCCTCTCCCTGACATCCATCTGCCCCAGTGTACCATGGACACGGAGGGGGGCTTTAGGCACGGGATGGAGGTGCTTGTAGGCGCTGGTAGGACAGCCTGTGGGAGAGGACGTGGCTCTGGGGAGACATTATTGTGCCCTTTCTGTATATACAGTGGGCTTAAGATGAAGTAAAATCTCTCAGAAGCCGTCCTTAAAGTCATGAAAGGCTCAAGAAGGCGGTTGGGAGCAGCTCACACGACTTGACTAAGCGCAAATCACGCCTGAGCAACCTCATTCCTTTCTGTGAGGAGGTGACTGGCGCTGTGGGGAAGGGGATGGGGCACTGGCTGGGCTGTAGCTTGACTTTAGTGGGACTTTTGACATACCCTCATGGGTGCACACACATGCACACCTATACCCACACCAAGGTGTGCACACGCACAGGCATGCTCACACACAGATCTGTGTGCTGCTGGGGAGATTCTGTTGTAGCCTTTGAGGCAAATTAAACACACACTTCTGCTTAGAGAGGAAAAATACCACACCAGATGCTCAGTGCATTGGACAGTGCTACCACCAGAAGCATTCCTACAAGGAGTCGGCAAAGACGCGTCAGGAGCTGGTTCCTCATGTGCACTGGCCCCAGCACCAATCCTGTGAGTGCTGGCATGAGGCACCTCAGCCTGCCATTGGGTCTGTCCCCCAGCACCTGCTCTGCTGCCCAAAGGTGGCCACTGAGCGTTCACATTCCAGCACTGCTACAAGACAATGCTGCAGCTGTTCCTTCTCTCCTCACCGAGGGAAACTGCACTCCCTCGCAGGGAGTCCTTCTGTCTCTGGCATCCCTGCCTCCAGCCACTTTCACCCCTTCTGCATTTGGGCCGCCTTGCCCTCCTTGCCAGATCATTCCTTGGTCACAGACCACCACTGATGAGCAGTTACAGTTTGAATTTCCCCTTCAGTGCACACACAAATTCACACCCAGGGGCACAACCACACACGTGAGCTTACACACACCCATAGAGCTACTCATACACGTGCCCTTAGGAAGAGAGGTGTGCACACACGTTTCCAAAGGAGCCCATGTCCATACCAACATGCACAGCCCCCCATGCCAACATGTACACACGGGTATTCAAACACACCTGCTTACACAGATGGATGTTCCTGCACGCTTGCACTTGCATACAGATATACACGCATGCTCCTCTACACACATGTACACACACAAAAGCACACATCTACACACCCCTGTGCCCACACAATTACATATATGCTGACCAGTCACACAGAGTGCTAAAATACATACACTCGTGGACACACTTGCCTACACATTCACACACAGAACATTTGTGCACACCCGTGTTTGCATGTGTATTGTCGTGGTTGCACACATGCACATGTGAATTCACACATGAGCACAGGCAGCTCAACAGCTATGTGAGCATGGTCATGCACACACACCACCGAGAACCAGGACTCCCAACACCAGCTCTCAGCTCCTCTAGACGACTCCAGGCAAGTCCTTCAGACCCTACAGTTAAGGAATCGAATCAGTCATTGAGCGTTGCCATCAGCTTTAGTGAGCTCAGGGGTTTGGCAGTGCTTCAGTCAGCTGTTTTCTCACATTCAGAGACAAACCACAGCAGAGAACAAGCTGTCATGGCCTTTGCAGCCACTGAGCCTCTCCGTGTCCCAAATCTGTGTGTGAAGGCTAGTGTAAAAGCCAGAGAACATCCATATTGCTGCAGCCGCAAAGAATCCCCACCTCCCAAGGGAGAAAATTCCTAGAGCCTTAGATGCTCCCAGCTGTGCGTAGTGATCTCCTGAAGGGAGATGTGGGGCTGGGGGAGCGGCCCCTGCTCTGTGAAGGAAATGGTGCCTCAGTGGTTTATTCACACAGCAGCAGAGCGTGGTGTCCCTGGGACAAGCCAGATGAGATGGGCACTCTGCCTTTTCAAATGGTGCTTTAAAATATCAGTTAGTAGAGCTAAGGGTAGAGAGAAAGAGAGGGTAGTATAGATAACCTTACATCCCCTCAGATGCTGGGAACCCTGAGCGGCTCTACATCAGCTGCTCTCCCAGAATGAGAGAATCAGAGAACAGTAGAGGTTGGAAGGGACCTCTGGTTGTCATCTGGTCCAATCCCCCTGCTCAGGCACGGCCACCTAAGGCCAGTTGCCCAGGACTGTGTCGAGGATTGTTTTTCTCGCTCTCTAAGCAGGAAGAGTCAGCAGAGTCCCTGGGATAGCTATGCCAGTGCTCAGTCACTCCCACAGCACCGGGAATTATTGTTGTCCCTACTCCAGGGCACAGGACACTCTACTGATCCCATCCACAGAAAGGTTTCTCAGTTTCAGTCCTTCAAGCTTTACAGGATTTTCTTCAAGGAAGCAGCTCTATTCATCATTTCTACGGTCAAACACTATGACCCTGCCAGTTGTTCACTGGATGTGAACAACTTTGAGCAGCTTTCACATGTTGGCTTCTTAGGGTGTAAATCAAGGAGTTCCTCAGGGGAGTAAGAGCAGTGTAAAAACAGCCAGCGCTCTGCCTAGTGACCCTTTTGAGGTCAGTTCCCATGGAGGAGAAGACTCAGCCCGTAGGAACAGGACACAGCACTGAAATGGGAAGCACAGGATGAGTCAGCCCAGTGCACACGGCAGAGCCCGTTCCACACGGCAGAGCCGCAGGATGGTTCTTGCTCTGCGCCTGTAGGTGTAAGTGAGGATGAAGAGGAAGGTGCCGAGGGTCACATCACCAATATGGAACGTGATCCCAGCCTGGTTGTCAGAGGGGTCAGCACAAGGCATGTCCAGGAAGGCTGGGGGAGCACCAGAGAAGTGGTGCATGTGCCTGGGCTCACGGTGCACCAAGCGGGAGGTGAGTATTGTGTGCAGAGCAGGAGTCAGGGAACCGGCCAGCCATGTCCCTGCCACCAGCCAGGCACACACAGCCTGATGCGTGATGGCCCCATGGCACAGTGGGGTGCAGGGAACCAAGCAGTGGCCATAGGCCATGAGAAGGAGGAGGAAGCATTGGTCCCTGCCCAGGAGCTGGGAGGAGGACAGCTGGGCCATGCAGCTGTGGAAGGAGAGGGCTATGCTGCTTCTGCTTGTAAACTTTTGTCAAGTATATGGATTTGGATGGCAGGAAATAGGATCTGAGACTCCAGAGGCTGCCAAGAGAAGGATGAGGTTTATATGTGAAAAGTCCACATTCCCCAACAAGGTCAGCTAATTCCTGAGCACAGTTTCTCTGGGGACACCAATGAAGCAGTCAGGAGCTCTGTGCAGCTCTCTTGGGAACTGCACCCAGTACCCTCATGCTTGCTAATCTTCACGTTCCCCTACAAGCTCTGTATGAGAGCAATTTGATCTACTTCAGAAATACACCACTGCAGTGTTTCCACTTCTGTGCCGATTGCCCTCATCTCCAATATGTGTAGCTCCAATTTCCAGACTCAACAAAGGCAGCAGCATGGGTGATGATTTTCCGGCCCAAGCGTGCTGCCCATGGCCCCTAGTCTGGGTGTTGGAGGGGGAGGAAAGTGGAGCAGCAGCTCTGAGCCATCCCAAGGGCTGTTCCCCGCATCGCCACTCCTGCCGTTCTGCAAAGTAAACCATCTCCCGGATCCCCAGAGCCGCCCTTGCCATCCCTCACTGCATCTTGAAGCATAGCAAGAGGAACGCTCTTCCTCAAG